CTTCCTTGTACCAGGTCCCCCCCCGGTAGACCCCCTCCCCCCTCAGGGTCCTGCCCCTTCAGGTGTGTCCCAGGTAGATGCAGTCGAGCCTGTCGAGGTTACTGGTGACTCTGGTGCTGCTGAGGGTGCTGAGCCTGGGGGTGCTGACTCTGGGGGTGCTGAGCGTGTGGGTGCTACGCCTGGGGGTGCTGAGCCTGAGGGTGCTACTACTGGGGGTCCTGAGCCTGGGGGTGCTGAGCCTGGGGGTGCTACTACTGGGGGTGCTGAGCCTGGGGGTGCTACGCCTGGGGGTGCTGAGCCTGGGGGTGCCACGCCTGGAGGTGCTGAGCTTGGGGGTGCGGAGCCTGAGGGAGCTGGGCCTGCTCGTGTGGCGTCTGGCGGTGCTGAGCCTGGAGGTTCTCCGGGTGCTTCGTCTCGGCGGGAGCCACTCTCTCCACAGGAGCTGCGCGAGTGGTTTGCCCGGCGCTGGAGGCGTGCTGCTGGAGCTGGAGGTTCTTCGGCTGCTGAGGGTGCTGGTGCCGCGGGTCCCGGAGGTGCTCGTACTGGGAGTACTGGAGCTGCTAGGCCTGCGGGTACGACTGGAGCTGGAGCTGCTGAGGGTGTTGGCGCTGAGGCTACTGCTGTCGGTCCTAGAGGCGGTCCTGCTGGGGGTGCTACTGGTGCTGCTGGAGGTACTGGAGCTGGAGGTGCTGCTTGCGCTGGTGCTGCCGCTGGGGGTACTGGTGCTGTCCCTGCTGTGTCTGGAGTCGCCGCGCGGCCTCGGCCGTACTTCGTTCCGCTCCTTCAGCAGGTTCTTGGTCTCCCGCCTTCTACTGGTCCTCCTCCTCCCTTAGAGTGTCCACAGCCTGTCCCGTCACAGTTCCAGTTACAGCCGGCCTCCCCACTGCCTGCTCCTTCTCCCTACACTGGTCCTACTGGAGGTCTTGCTGAGCGTCGTGAGCCAGCGTCTCGCCCTGCGTCGCCTGTCCGTGCTGCTCGCACTAGTGGTCGTGGTTCGCGTCAGCGTCCTCCTCCTGTCCCTGGCACGCACCGGATGTCTCTGCGTCCGTCCACTGCTCCTCTGCGTGCCCCTTTGCCTTCTCCTCCTGAGTCCTCTCTTCCTGCTCTTCCTGACCCGGAGTCGGACTCTCTTCGTGCTGCCAGTCCTACTGTCACGCGTCTCCTTGCTACTGTTGTCACTGACCCTTCCTTTGAGTCCACTGCTGCGTCTGCCCTAGTTACTGAGCTCGTCGACTTTGCTGCTCGCTGTCGTCTAGACTACGCTGCTAGTCTTGTTGCTGAGTCTGAGTCTGTCTGTCCTCCGTCCGTCGGGGGTGAGTGTGCCCTTGGCACGGACGTCCTTGAGGACAGGCAGGAGGAGTTCCAGTGTTTGGCTGCTGCTTCACCTCATCTCGTGTCCGTACTGCTTACCCCTGAGGGAGACCCGGATGCACTTGACATCCCGACTCCGCGCTCTTACGCGGAGGCGATAGAGGGTCCCTACTCCTCTCAGTGGCAGGCAGCTATGGACGCAGAGATGGCTTCCTGGAAGTCCACAGGCACCTACGTTGACGAGGTTCCCCCGCCTGGGGCGAACATCGTCAGTGGCATGTGGATTTTCAGGGAAAAGCGGCCGCCGGGTTCTCCGCCTGTCTTCAAGGCGCGTTACGTGGCTCGTGGCTTCAGTCAGCGGCAGGGAGTTGACTACTTTCAGACCTTCTCTCCCACCCCGAAGATGACCACTCTTCGGGTACTGCTGCACATAGCTGCTCACCGCGACTACGAGCTGCACTCTCTTGACTTCAGCACTGCTTTCTTGCAGGGCAGCCTGCACGAGGAGATCTGGCTGCGTCGCCCACCTGGCTTCACTGGGTCTTTTCCTCCTGGCACCCAGTGGAGCCTCCGGCGGCCAGTCTAAGGTCTCCGCCAGGCACCGCGTGAGTGGCATGACACACTGAGGACTACACTTGCGGCTCTTGGGTTTGCTCCTTCTACTGCCGACCCGTCGCTGTTTCTGCGCACCGACACTTCTTTGCCGCCGTTCTACATCCTCGTGTACGTCGACGACTTGGTCTTCGCCACAGCTGACATTGCTGGACTCGCCCACGTGAAGTCCGAGCTGCAGAAGAGACACACGTGCACAGACCTGGGTGAACTGCGCAGCTACCTTGGCTTGCAGATCACCCGTGACAGAGCACGCCGCACCATTACCCTGACTCAGTCACACATGGTGCAGCAGGTCCTTCAGCGCTTCGGCTTCACGTACTCCTCGCCTCAGGCCACTCCTCTGCCTACTCGCCACTCGCTCTCAGCTCTGCCTTCGGATGAGTCCGTAGAGTCGAGTGGCCCGTACCCAGAGCTTGTTGGCTGCCTCATGTACCTGATGACCTGCACACGACCTGACCTTGCGTACCCTCTTAGCATTCTTGCACGCTATGTTGCTCCTGGGAGACACAGACCGGAGCACATGGCTGCAGCGAAGAGGGTGTTGCGCTACTTGTGCAGTACGTCGGGCATGGGGCTTGTGCTTGGAGGGCAGAGTCCAGTGGTCCTCACTGGGCACGCAGACGCTTCTTGGGCTGACGACCAGGCTACGCAGCGGTCGTCACAGGGTTACACCTTCAGCCTTGGTTCCGGCTCTGTTTCGTGGCGGGCTACCCGCTCGTCTTCTGTTCTCGGCTCCAGTTGTGAGGCTGAGATCTACGCCGGGGCCATGGCTGCACAGGAGCTTCGCTGGCTCACCTACCTGCTGACTGACCTCGGAGAGCCGCCTCGTTCTCCTCCAGTGCTGTACGTAGACAACAAGGCCATGCTGGCCTTGTGTCGAGAGCAGAGACTGGAGCACAGAACGAAGCACATTGCTCTCCGCTACTTCCTTGCTTATGAGCTACAGCAGCGTGGTCAGCTGCGGCTTGCGTACGTGGCCTCTGAGGCCAACACTGCTGATATCTTCACCAAGGCACTTGCGCCTTGTGATCATCAGCGCTTCTGTACTCAGCTTGGTCTTGTGCCTACCTTGCCTCACTTGCTCACCCCTTGACCTTGTTTGTACTGTTGCATATATATATACACCTGCTCTTGCTTGTCTAGTCTTATATATATATATATGCAATCCTGCATGTGAACTGGCCTTGTGGCCTTGAACTTGTGCTCGGAATGTGTGGTGACTTTGTGATCCACCCTGAGCTTGTTTTGCTTTGCTTGACTGGTCCTGTGACCCCTTGTTCTCCCCCACTTTGCCTATGGGGGTGTGTCAGATTTATATGACATAGCTACTGTAGGCTATAGTGGGGTAGCACATATGGGGTACAGTTTTCTAGGGTTTGCTTTTTGTACCCAACTTTCACTTAGTCATTTCATTCCTGTTTTTCTTAATTCACAGACCCTACAGTACCCATGACCCCGAATCCCGACAACCCAGTACCACGTGCGCAACAATTCGCAGAAGTTTTACAGGCAGCACGAACCAGGGCAGCACAGGCAATAAAAAAAGCCAACGTCATCGCTAAGCGCAACGCCGACCGCCACCGCAGACCCGTCACTTACCAGCCCGATGACTTAGTTCTACTCGACACCCAAAAGCTCCGCCTGCCCATAACTCCGAAACTCCGCCCCCGATATTGCGGGTCATTTCGCATCAGCCACATGATCACAACTGTCACCGCCCACCTCCTCCTCCCTGCTGACTGGTACGGCAGCCCGTCATTCCACGTCAGCCTGCTTCGCCCCTACATTCCATCCACCAGCCAACTGGCCCGAAATCGCCCAGCCAGCATGACACGACCACCGACCGAGCCAGTCATCACGCCCGAGAAAATTCTGAGCCACCGAGTTCCTGACCTTACGAGGAGCTCGAAGGGTCGAATTTCTAATCCGCTGGAGAGACCGCACGCCCACCGAGGACAATTGGGTTCCACTGGACAAAATCGAAGACCACCCCGTCCTTAACGAGTATCTGCGCAGCCGAAATTTCCGGGACATACACGCGCTCTTGTAAGAGAGGCCTCCTTGAGGGGGGGGGGAGGGGGGGGTAGTGTAAGGAAAAGCCATTTTCCTTACTTCGCGTCCCTGCTCAGCGCGTACACCACTGTTCCCGCCAAGGCTTCAGATTCGTTTTGGGCCACCCTTAGTAATCAGGGTTCTAGGTATATTCAACCCTGATGTGCAGGGTAAATTTTTTTTTTCCCTGACAAATGCAGGGTAAAAAAACAGTTAGTCTGTTTGGGCAGGGTATTTTTAAAAGTATAGTATATGAATAACGCCAAAGTGTTGAAGTTTAATAGTTAGTGGTTCAGCTAGTTCGATCACGCATTAGATTTGAAAGATCTCAGATTCGAATCTCGCTGTTGGGATCATTTTGCAGGGGTCTGTATAGTGTTTCGTTTCGATACGGAGCACTCGGTACCAGTATAGCTGGGATTGTACACTGTACAGTCAGCGTAATGTATTCGTTATGCTGTTTTTCAAAGGGTATTGAAAACCTTACACTTTCTGGCCTAGGGTAAAAAATCCACTACCCTGCCTGTGAAAGGGTAACTGAAAAAAAGCTGCCGCCAGTCAGTGCAAAAAGGGTATTTTACCCTGATAACGAGAGGCCTGGTTCCCGCCAACAGCACCCCACAATATTCCGTTACCACTCGCGACATTCGCCTCGACCCCATTCCCGCCACTGTTCACGATGTGACCCAATCTCACGGTTCGGTTGGTAACCCGCGCTCCGGACCTCCGCCTCGAGAGTCCCCCAACCTCTGCACCAGGCCCGTCGCGCACCCCATTTTCCACACGTTACCGTTACCACCGTAGCTTCGCTATATATTCTTCGCTCAATCCTTCGCTCATTGCATTGTTGTCTCGATAGTGCGATCCTCGCTCGTTCACTCAATTGCACTCGTAACAGTACGTAACGTTGCTATGTGTGGGCTTATTTGTGTGGTCATTGTTGCCTAGTTTCCCAAAGCCTTTTGTAGATCATGTTGCAACATCTATGTAAACAACATATCTATGGTTCAACCAAATTCTCATCATAACTGATGAATCATACCGTAGTTACAGCATACCCTCAGACACACCTCCACGGAACACGGCAAATCTACGTAACCTGACCAGGCACAGCAAATCTCTGCTCTCACAACCCCAAAAAACTATCTCCTGCCTCTCCCTGCCGCTTTCCCTCCCCTCCCCCTCCCTGCCGTCGAAGCCCCTCCTCTCTTGCTCAGTGCCTTCCCTCTCGGCATCATCTCGGCAAGTTTCTGCACCTGAGTCCCAGCCCCCGCGCCCTTCCCTCCTCCCCGCCCACCTCCTCTCCCTCCTCCTCTCCCCCCTCCTCTCCCTCCTCCCTTCCCCATCTTACTTGCCTTTGCCCCCTGGTATGACCCTCCCCCTCCCTGCCCTCCCTCACCACCCTCACCGCCTCCTCCTCCCCTCCCTCCTCCCCTCCCTCCCCCCCGACCAGCACCCGCAAAACCGCCACCCCTCCCCATCCCCCATCCGCCTCCTCTCCCTCCCCCATCTCCCGCTCCAACCGCCCCCGGCCTACCAGCCTTCCTCCCACGCTTCTCCGCCTGCATCTGGGCTTTAGCACGGGTCTGCTCCTGTGCCCTGAGAGACAGGGGCATCACTCTGACAGCTCGCCCCCGCACCTCTGCTCCCTTGCGCCGCTGGGACAGTGCTGTCCTCGCTGCCTCCTGTGGAGGAGAGGGGTGACGGAAAGTTGGGAAAGGGTTGCGACATGGCAGAATGAGAGAGCAGAGGGCAGGCAGCAGGCAGCAGGCAGCAGGCAGCAGGCAGCAGGGAGCAGGCAGCAGGCAGCAGGCAGAAAGCGAAGGGCTGTCAGTCTGACTGAGCGCGAAAAAAGCAGTTGTAAGCAGTGTGTGAATGCTTTGAAACGATTTGTTGAGGCTGTGAGATGGCAGAGGTTTCTAGCCCATAGCAACCTTCAATAGCTGCACGAGCAGATGTGCACAACAGGAGTGCAGAAGCAAGTGTGAGAACAGGGCGGCTAGGCAGCACAAGTGAAGGCAGTTGGGCGGCAAGAGCGAGTGCTCTTATCTTGGGTGGCAGCAGTACCCGGGTGTTGAAGAGCACGAATGCAATGCCCTTGCCCTGGTTGGTGTGGCGATCCCTCACCACGCGCACCCCCTCCACATCCCCAGCTGTCACAGCGGGTGCTGAGGAGCGGGCTGATGCTGCCAGGGGTGCTGAGAACAGCGATAGCACCTCCTCTTCCTGTGGGGTAGGGAAGAGTCGGAAGGAAGTCAAGGGTATGGTGGAGGTGGAGGCAGGATGAAGGGTGTGGATGAATTCGGGGCCCATGATGGGCGTGAGCGATGAAACGTGGGACAATGGGGTTGGGAAGTATGGGGAGCGGAACTACATGAGGCAGGGAGATAGATGGAGTGGATGGGAAATATGGTGGGAGCTGAGTGAGTGCATGATGCAATGCTGTGAGTTATGTGCCGTAAGTGCCACGTGCCATGTGCCATGCGTCACGAGATCATGTGCTGTGCACCGTGAGTGAGTGTGCAGCAGACCCCGACTCACATCAACGTCGTGTGGCAGGTTCCCCAGGAACAGCGACCGCCACGGGTCGTACTTGGCTGCTGCTGCTGGCACTGCTGCTTCCTCCGCTGCTGCTGCTGCCGAGGCTGCTGCAGAGGCGGACTTGGGGGGTGCGGGAGCAGCAGCACGGTCCACCCGAATATGCCTCCCCTCAAACTGCCATACAAGTTGATAGTACAAAGGGGAGGGGAAAAAACATAGGAACAAGTTATGAGGATGCCAGAGTTTCGTCGCCGGATAATGGGTGCACGGATGATGGTCCAGGGAGAGGCATGGCAAAGAAACGTGGAAGACAGGCATGGCATGGGGGGAGAGAAAGGACAGGGAGGTACCAGGGTCATGTTGAGAGCGAGTGATGGTGTGACTGAGTGTTGCCTCTTAAACACCACGTATGCATTGCAGCTGCATGCAGGGAGGAGAGGGAACGGGGAAGTTAAAGGAGGGGGAAAGGGGAGGATTGAAGCAGAAGTTTAGAGTTTGAAGGGATGAGGGGGGGGGTTGGGGGAGGATGGGGGAAAGGGACGCGGAGGGAGCCGAGAGGGAAGGGTGCAGTGGAAGAGAGAGGAGAATGAGGGATTAAGTGCGCAGCACCGCACAGAGAGAACGGGAGAAGAGACGAATGGGAGAGGAAGGAATGAGCTTTCAAGCATTTTGGGTTGAAAAAACAAAGCACCAATCCTTGCACCTTAGGACTTGTGCGCATGCATCGCACCCAGTCAAATCTTCCCGCCCACTGACCCTTCCCCCCCACCTCCCCTTTCCCCCCCCTTCCACCCCTCTCTTCCCAACCGCCTAGCGCACCTCTTGTGGGTGGCGGAGATTTTGTTCTTGAGCACCGCAGACCGACGCGGCATCTTCTTGATCTGACAGTGGACGAGGGAGAGGGGCGGAGGGAGAGAGGGAGGAACAGGGAGAGAGGGAGGAAGAGGGAGAGAGAGAGGGAGAGGGAGAGGCAGTGTCGAAGACATGAAGGCATGAGGTCACAGGGCAATAACGGCTAGGCCTGACTTGTGAGAATTCTCAAAAGTCACTCCAATATAGCGGGCGATAACGGCTAGGCCTGAAGAAACAAGGCTTGAGGAAAGAAAGCTTGAAGAACCAGAGGCTGACTCACGTCGTCGGCGAGGGGCATGGAGCGCAGGCGCACGGACTCGACAGGGCCGAAGGGCGTGAAGAGGCGCGCGAGGGCCTTGCGCCCCACGCCCACGGGCAGGTTCCCCACGAACACCGTGCGCTGTAGCTTCTCCGCGCGCTCCTCGCGCGCCTGCTGCTTCTCCGCGCGCTTCTGCGCGCGCCTCTCCGCCCCGGTCAGCGCCCGCTCCGCCGTCGCCGCCTCCGCCGAGGCCGCTGCTGTTGTCTTCGCCGTGCCCTTGGCCACGCTCTCCTCCGCCGCTCCTGCCACTCCTGCACCTTGCCCATCCTCCTTCTCCTCCGCTTCCTCCCCCTCTTCTTCTTCCTCTTCTTCCTCTTCTTCCTCTTCTTCCACCTCGCCCCATCCGACCAAATCTCCGTCTAACTCGTCTTTATCCTCCTCTTCCTCACTCGAGCTGCTGTCGCTGTGAGCATCTGCATCCTCCTCCCCATCATTCGCCGCACCTTCCTCCTCGCTCCCTAACTCCATAACCTCCATCTCTTCATCCTCCTCCACCTCCTCCTCCTCATCCTCTTCCCCGTCTTCCGCTCCGTCATCCCCACCGTCCTTCTCCCTCCCCTCGCTCTCAGAATGCGTCTTAAGCCCAGAACCCTGAACCTTTGGCGCGCTGTCTTTGCCCCTCCCTTTCTTCTCCTTCTTTGTCTTCTTCTTTTTGTCGTTGTTCTGGCAACCTTCTGTTGTAACAGCTTCTCGTTCCAAACTAGTCTGCGCCTCTCTAGACCCCTCATTTTCACGTTCAACAACCGCCTTCTTCCCCTTCTTTTGCTTCTCACCCTCCTCCCCCTTCCTTCTCTTCTTCTTCTTCTTCTTCCCCACATCCACCTGAGCCCCTTTCGCCGCTGTAACTTCCGCCAACTCTGCAACCTCCCCCTTTCCCCCCTGCGCCCCTTCCGCTTCCCCTTCCCCATCGCCCCCTCCACTCACTCCCCCGCCCCCCTCCGTCTCGCTCCCTTTGCGCTTCTTCGTCTTCTTTCCGCTCTTCTCTCTTTCTTCCGATTTCCCCTCCCCTTTCCCCGCGGGATTCCGGAACGCAGCGGCTTCCGCTAGCGCAGCCCCCAGCTTGGCGGAAGGGGATGGCCCTGTGCGCGCGGAAGGTGGGGGGGTTTTCCCGGCGGGCGCAGCTGCAGAGCCAGGGCCTGGGGAGGGCGCGGAGGGTATGGCGGCGCGGCGGAAGGGATTATTGTCGAAGAGACTCGAAAGGGTCGCCATGGCGGCGCGCGGAAGAGGGAGAGCGCTTCTAGCGCGGAAAGCCGCTGAGCGGAATGGCGGCGCGGACGCGCGGATAGAAATGCCGATGCCGGCCAATGAGAGTGCAAACAAGGATGCCTAAGCTATCAAGGTAAACTCGGTTCTCGTGTGTTTTTGTAGGAGCGAGGCTGTGTGGTTCCTTAGATGATTCCTAACAGGAGCTGGTTGGTTGGGATGGGGATGGGATGGGTTTTGCAACAGGGTTTTCAGGGGAAAAGGTGCAGAGCAACAAGTACTGAATTTGAGCCGTTGAGTGTAGGAAACTCGTTTCCAAAACATCCCAACCAAGTCAACAAAATCGCGTACAAAAAGGTCAGCATTCAACTCCGCCCCTCTCTCTCCCCTCCCCAATCTCGCCACTTCCAATCCAACGGGCGCCATTCCGCCGGACTCATCCTTCTCAGCGTGCACCGCCGTCTCCCGTCTCTCCGCAGTCGCGCCATGCGCGCTCTCGCACCGCTTCCCCGGGCCGTCGCCGCTACCGCCGCTGCCTCTGCTGCCGCATCCCCCCGTGCCTTCCCCGGCGGCCTCCTCCACAGCTTTTCGTTCCCGCGCGGCTCTTCCGCGAACCCGCCGCTGCGGCTGAGTGACGGCCGGCGCGCGGAGCGGAACAGCGGCGCGGGCGGTCGGCGCACTTCCGTCATGGCGTCGGGGAGCGCGGCGGCCGGGAACGGCAGCGCGGCGGCGTACGCGGATGAGCTGGCGGCGGCGGAGAGCGCCGTTCGGCTTGCGTGCGCGCTGTGCGAGGTGGGTTTGCATGCGCCGCGCAGCTTCGATGGCGATGGCGATGGCGATGGCGATGCGTGGGGTAGTAACAAACGGCGCGCTTCGCATGGGTCGGTTTGGTCGACCGTTGCTGCTGTTCCGCCAGCAGCGGGGCAAAAGGCGTCTTCTTCCCCGCCCCCACCACTGCTCGTCTCCCTTTCTTCCTCATTCCTGCATTCTCACACATTTTGCCAACCCCGTTCCCCCTTATCTTCTCATTTCCCCGGATGGGGAAAAGGGGGGAGACGGGCACCCACTCTCTCCTCTCTCCCCCCAGCATGTGCTCTCTCTCACCATGGCGCCACGACGACCGAAACAGCACACCCCATTCGCTGCTCCTGTGCAAACCCACCTGTTTGTTTTTGCCCCTCCCTTCCCCCACTCCTCCCTCTGCGCCTCCATCCCTCCCTCCCTCTCTCCTCCCCTCTCTCTATCCCCTCCCCCCCCTTCCGCCCCTGCTCCCCGTCCCCGTCCACCCCATTCCCCATCCGCCCTCCCCAGACGGTGCAGCGCGGGCTAAAGGCTGAGGAGTCAGCCAGCAAGTCTGACGAGTCGCCCGTTACCATCGCTGATTATGGTGCGCTCACCCGTGGCCCGTGGGGTGTGCGGGAATGGGGCGTGGGGGGTGCGGAATGGGCCGTGGGGAATGGGGCGTGGGGAATGGGGCGTGGGGAATGGGCTGTGGGGAATGGGCCGTGGGGGATGGGCTGTGGGGAATGGGCCAAGGGGGGTGGGCTGTGGGGAATGGGCCGTGGGGAATGGGCTGTGGGGGATGGGCTGTGGGGAATGGGCCGTGGGGGATGCGGGGATGCGCTCTTTTCTCGTTTCACCAAATTGTTCACTCACTCACTCACTCACTCACTCACGCGCTCACCTCTCACTTGAATGCATTAAAGCAACATTAACCCTGCCCTTCCCCCCCATCGCATCCCATACCATCCCATCCCTTGACACATCATCTTCCACCTACCACCAATCTCTCCGTGCAACCCCCTGCCTGCCCGTCCAGCCCATGCATGTACAACCCGCGTCTCTCTGTCTCTCCTCTTCCGCCCGTCGCTTCCCCCTAAACCTCTCCACCTTCCTCCCCCCTCCCCTGTCCCCATTCCCCCCCTGCCCTCTCCTCTCCCCTCCCCTGTCCCCTCTCCATTCCCCCCCCTGCCCTCCGCCCTCCCCTCTCCTGTCCCCGTTTCCCCTTTGCCTCCCTCGTCGCCCCTGCCCTCCATCCCTCCACTGCCTCCTGCCATCCTCCCTCGGCCTTTCTGCCGGATCCCTGCCCCCCCCCTGCCCCCCCCCTGCCCCCCCCTGCCCCCACCCTGCCCCCCCTCTGCCCCCCCACCTGCCCTCCCCCATGCCCCCCCCCTGCCCGCCCCCTGCCCTCCCCCTGCCGCCAGGCTCGCAGGTGCTGGTGGCGTGGGCGCTGCAGCAGCACGGGCTGCCAGGCGCCTTCTCCATGGTGGCGGAAGAGGTGGGGGGGAAGGGGAGGGGAGGGGGGAAAGAAGGGGGGGTGTAGAGTAGAGTCGGGGCGAATGAGGGGGGAATGGAGGCGGGAATGGAATGGTGGTGGGGGAATGCGCGGGGAACAAGGGGGAAGGAGGGGGGAAGGAAGGGGAGGGGAAAGGTGGGGGTGGAGGAGAGGAGGTTTGGGAAGAAGAGACTGGTGGAGGTGTGGGAATGGGAGGAGAGTCTATGGTAAATGGGATGAGGGGATGATGGAGAGAGAAAGGTAAGGGTGCAAGGTAAGGAAGGGGCCGAACCAAAAGTAGTTTCTCCCTTTCTGCTCTGCTGCCCCCTCTTCCTTCATCCACAATCCCTGCTCCTTCATACTTTTCCTCGCACCTGCTCGCCCCTCCTCCCCTTCTCCCCCTTTTCACCACACCAGGACTCGATCCAGCTGACGGCGCCAGGGGGCTGGGGGCATGCTGTAGTGACTTTTAAGGCGCCTCAAGAGCCCTCCCCTTCCCTCTCCCCCTCCCCCTCCCCCTCCCCCTCCCTCTCCCCCTTACCCCACTCCTCCTCACCACGCCAGGACTCCACGCAGCTGACGGCGCCAGAGGGGCGGGGCATGCTGCAGCGACTTTTAACACGCCTCAAAGCCCCTCCCCCTCCCCCTCCCCCTCCCTCTCCCCCTCCCCCTCACCCCACTCCTCCTCACCACGCCAGGACTCCACGCAGCTGACAGCGCCAGAGGGGCGGGGCATGCTGCAGCGCATCACAGCGCTCGTGAACGCCACCATTGCCGCCAGCACCAAGTGGGGCGGAGGGGTGGCGGCGCCGCTGAGTGAGGCGGAGGTGGTGGCGCTGATTGACGCGGGCGGCGCGAAGGGAGGGAGGACCGGGCGCCACTGGGTGCTGGACCCCATCGATGGCACGCGCGGGTCTGTCAGTCCAACTTCAGTCCGTCAGTGTGTCTGTCGTTAAATCGGTCATTCGGTCCGTCAGTCAGTCATGAGGGAGCAGCGGGCGCCACTGGGTGCTGGACCCCATTGATGGCACGCGCGGGTCTGTCCGTCTGCCGCTCTCTCACTTTGGCAGTCAGTCAGTCAGTCAGTCAGTCAATCAGTCACGTTGCTCTGTTCGTGTTTGAGGCGCCTGAAGCACCGACTGGTCCTCCTCTCCCTGATCTCTCTCCTCCGTTGCTTCTCCAATTTCCAACCAGCCCACCGTCCACCACACTCCTCCCGCTGTCCCCGCATCTCCACCCCCATCATCTCCCCTGCCGAGCCTCTGCTCCCCCCCCCCTCCACCCTCTCCCCCGCACCCTGATCCTCCCCCCCGCAGCGCAGCTTCATGCGGGGGGATCAATACGCGGTAGCGCTGGGGCTGCTAGAGTAAGACGAGGTGGTGGTGGGCGTGCTGGGCTGCCCCAACCTGCCCCTTGCTATTCCCCCACACCATCTCGCGCCCGCCCTCCCCCCTCCCCCTTCAGCGTCATGCGGGGCGACCAGTACGCAGTGGCGCTGGGGTTATTAGATCAGGGCGAGGTGGTGGTGGGCGTGCTGTGCTTTTCCGCCCTCCCCCACTGCTCTCCCTGCACGCCATCTCCCCTGTCATCTCCCCTGTCATCTCCCCCTTCCCCTCCCCCTCCCCACCACAGCTTCATGCGGGGGGATCAGTACGCAGTGGCGCTGGGGCTGTTAGATCAGGGAGACGTGGTGGTGGGCGTGCTGGGCTGCCCCAACCTGCCGTGTGCGTCCATAGCGCACGGGGTGGAAGCAGCAGTGGCCACGGGGCAGCCCGTGGGGTGTGTGTTCTCCGCTGTCAAGGGCCGCGGCACCACAGTGCAGCCGCTGCATGAGGCTGTGCCACCCAGACAGGTGCGAAGGGGAGGTGTGGAGGTGGGGGGGTGGGGAGGTGGGGACGTGGGAGGTTTGAGATGGGGAGGATGGAGAAAGGGAGGTGTGTTGGTCCCGTCTGTGCATGTTTGTGCATGTGCGGGTGTTTGCTGTTTATGCATGCGTCATTCTGTCAGTTTATGTCTGTGTGGGTGCACGCCTGCATGCATGTGTCCGGATGCTTGTGTGCGTGCATGCGTGCATGTGTGCATGTGTGCATGTGTGCATGTGTGCATGCGTGCATGTGTGCATGCGTGCATGTGTGCATGCGTGCATGTGAGCCCCTTGTGGCAGCAGGTGCAAGTAAGCTCGGAGAGCAACCCAGCCATGGCCACGTTCTGTGAATCGTACGAGTCGCGCCACTCCAAGCACAACCTCACAGCATCCATCGCACAGGTCCGTCCGCTTTTTAGGCGCCTCAAAATTAGCAACCTCACAGCATTTATCCCACACGACCATTTGTCCGTCACGCAACATTCCACCACCCCTGCCCATTGCACGTCCACCCCACCCCATGCCCACTGCATGCCCATCCCATGTTCATTCACACCCCATGCACAAACCCATGCCTACCACCACCGCATAGCCTTGTTTCTCTTTGCTTTTCCTCCTGCGGTTGCTGCTTCGATTCGAGCTACTGCATGGCTGTGCATCCACCACACTCATGCCCAAGCACTATCATTGTCGGATTGTCCCTCTCTGACACCTGGCCAAACCATCATCCATACAACCTCACACCTGCATTGAACCACCATCCCATAGACCCTAGATCCCACCTTGTTTTCCGTTTGTTTCGCCCTACAAATCTCCTACCCTCCCTCGCACGCTCTCATCCCAATTGCTGTCTCCCCTCTCTCCGCCCGCTCCCTCCCTGTCGTTCCCTTCCCGCAACAACTAGGCGCTGGGCGTGGTGGCTCCCCCCGTGCGCATCGACTCGCAAGCCAAGTACGGAGCCATGGCGCGCGGCGATGCTGCCATTTACATGCGCTTCCCGCCGGATGGATACCGGGAGAAGATCTGGGACCATGCTGCTGGCAGCCTTGTCATCTCTGGTGTGTGCCATGGGATGGGGTTGGGTGTGATGGGATGGGATGGGATGGGATGGGATGGGATGGGATGGGATGGGATGGGATGGGATGGGATGGGATGGGATGGGATGGGATGGGATGGGGGGGGGGGGGAGAGTGGGGAGAGGGGGTGTCAGGATGCCAGGGTGTTTGGTCTGCAAGGAATGTTGTATGCTTGGTCTGTCTGCTGCTGCCAATGTTTCCATCTGTCCTGGAATTTTCTGCTGCAATCCCTTTTTCCAGAGGCTGGAGGGCAAGTTTGTGACGCATCTGGGCAACCTCTTGACTTCTCTCGTGGTCGGTTCCTTGATCTAGATACAGGTATCATTGCAACCAATGCCACTTTGATGCCTGTGCTGCTTTCCACAGTTCAATCTGCGCTTAACAGATGAAAGAATTATAAGGGAGATAATGCCTTTGTAGGGTGCAGCATAAGAAGCGGTTCCTCAAACAGTAGTTGTTACATGGAGTCCCAAGAAACAGGTGTGATATTGTTTTCTGCTGTACATGTTACCTTGCCTGAATTTTCCTAAGGCTTCGTTGCCTGTAGTTTACATTGTTTTGGAAGGACCCACCAGTATACTGTACAACGCATATATTCAGTGATAACTTAGTCTGTAGGCACACAAGATATTGGCACTGCTGACAACGAGCTTCGCTGCACTTTTCCACACCTCGGGGCCTTTTTGTGAAACAGCCAATTATATAGCCCTGATGTCGCAGCACAGTTTGGATCGCCTTATCTTATTTGTCGTATCCCTTCCCAGCATTAAATGCCATTTGTAGAATGAAGGCATCCGCAGTCTTCGTCAATATGATCCAGCTGATGTTTTCCGCTTCTTCTTCATCGAGATGTTAGAGTCAATGACTGCGCAAAAGAGAACGTCATAGATATTCTTGTTGCCGCTGCCCGAAATTTCTGAACTGCAAGTACACCCTCTTTCGCGCTAGTAGAGCACCTGGTTGGAGAACGTACATGGATTGTAGAACGTCACCACGTTCAGAATGGTCTTGTCACCTACTGTACAAGCACAATGCGAAGAATGCGATTAGGTAAGGTTATGCACTTTACAAAAATCGTTGTCAACGTTTTCATCTGTTTGGGAAAGTTATGAAGCGATTACGGAGATTTTACGTCCTTGAGCCAGTTTGTCACGTGGTCCGGCTTTCCCCCCAGGTTGCCTAGGAACGTTTATTGGCACCAGATCGCATGAGACAAGTACTGTAGCGACGAGTCGCGCAAGGTGAAAAGGTTGAGAAAGAGGGTGTATCCAAACTAAAAATCGTGGACTGCAAGTGGCATTGCAATCCTGCAGTTGGACGTGTGATCGCTCTCTTGGAGGCTTGGTTTGGTGGTGGTGGCTGTCACTCTCAATAATTCCGCACGAGCGCGCTGCGATGTTCATCCACGCATCGTTGAGCCAGGCCACGACGTCGCGGAGGTTGGGCTTGAAACGAGCCACACGCGAGGTCGCGCCATCGGCATTCCAGCGGGTGGTGAAGGCGCGGAGCCAATGCTGCCGGTACCGCGCCTTCGCCATCGCGATGAGCCCCTGATCGAGAGGCTGGGTGAATGCGGTGGTGTTGGGTGGGAGATACACCAGGCGGACGTTCGAGAGAGAGCGCGGCGTGCGGAACCCGAATAGGTCCTTGTTAGAATCCCAACCGCTAGACCATTGGGATAAAAGAGCTTGTTAAGTAGCGGGTCAGTGCGCCCATAACCCCCCAGGACAACGAGCCTGTAACCCTTCCCTAGGATCAATCGGGGATCACCAGTGGACCTCTGACAGTCCTCAGAGGTGGCGCCGCGCGACGTGAGGACATGGCTGCTCGCGTTGTCGAGCAGAATCACAATATGCCAATCCTCGGCATACATGGCAGCGTTCAGCTGCTCGATGAAGAGAGTGAAAAGCTGCCATGAGGGACGGGTGTGACAGAGCGGGGGAATTTTAGTACACATTTACACGAACTAAAACATGAGCCTGAATATGGATTGACAGTCATAAAAAGAAACTCACCGGTGAGGTCATCCAGCCTTTGGCGGTGTTGCGCCAGTAGCAAAACTCCTCCGGATCGAAGTCAGGGCGGAAGTCGTGGGGGCGCTTCGCCTTGGAGATCACCAAGGGGCGGAAGGAGTGAGAGCCGTCAGCGTTGACGAGAAAGCCGACGGTGAGGCGGTCTTTCACCTCCTTCCTTCCCGCCACTCGGCCGGCGCCATAAGTCTTGCGAGGAAGCACCGAAATGTAGAGGGCAGTTTCATCGAAGTTGTAGGTGTCGCGCGGCCTCACGGAGAGGTGCATGAGGAGCTGCGGGAGCTTCTCCTGAGTCGTACGGACGGCGGCGAGATCCTGGTCGGCTGCCTCGCCACACGCCGCGATGCACCTGACACCCTGGCGGCGCAAGGCACGGCGGACCCATCCGATGGAGCACCGGAAAGTCGGCGGCAGAGACATGCGGCGCGCCATGTTCGCAACATGCTCGCGAATTGTCGCAAGGGTCAGCGGCACACCGGCCGGGCCAGCATTGGCGATCCAGCGCGCCATCGCACGCTCGAGTTCAGGATGGGCTCCGCCGCGCACGCGCACGAGATTGTTGTCAGATGCCGCGGATGCCCAACGCTCGGACGCCTTCAACACTCGGCCAATGGTGCTGCGATCAGGCCTGATGCCGAAGCGGGTGAAACACCAGCGGCTGAGATCGACGTGGCGCAGCTGGGGGTTGGCGACATGGTGGGCGCATATCGCCCGTTTGATATGCACAGCTAACTGGCTGCGGTGGTAGAGACGAGGCATGTTGTGCTAGCGGGATGGAGTGATTGATTGTCGAGTGAAATAGCTACCCTTTATAACTTGTAAGTTGAGCTGCTGACTGGGGCTTGAATGTGCGTTTGCAAGGGCAGTTGGTCGACCCATTGTGGCGTGCGGGATCGGGGTTACCACAACCAGTAGGTGTGACGTGTGAGTTTTGAACAACGCTTGGTTATCACTGTGTTTGTACCGAGCTTTGTCAGAATATGTTGTTTGTGTAGCCTGCAGTGGGGTACTCAATAGTGAGTACAGCCCCTTAGGGTTTGCTATTTGTATCCTGCTGCTTGCTAGTTCAATCATTCCTTCTCAATTGTGTTCGTGCACACATTCCTAGCTCGTACTTGGCGCCTCCTTACGTAGTCCTACTGTGGCATAGGCTACTAAGCCTAGGCCGTACTCCTACTATATTTGAGATGGTATCAGAGGGCGGCATGTCTGCCGCCTTCCTGTGTATGGGCCCACCACCCGCTTCCGCTGCCGTACTGTCCGCCGCGCGCCCCGTGGTGCGCGGCGGCGAAACCCTAATTTCTGCCCGCCGCGCGCTCGGGGCGCCTGGCGGTTTTCCCTTCCGTGGCGCCCGTCGTGGTGCCCTTGGGGGGCCTCCGCGGTCCCCTCCCGTCGAAGCGCCCGTCGAGGCGCTCTCGGGGACCCGCGCGGCCTCCCCTCCCGTCGCCCGTCGAGGCGACCTCGGGGACCCGCGCGGCCTCCCCTCCCGTCGCCCGTCGTGGCGACCTCGGGGACCCGCGCGGCCTCCCCTCCCGTTGCCCGTCGAGGCGACCACGGGGGCCCGCGCGGCCTCCCTACCAGTCGCCCGTCGTGGCGACCACGGGGGCCGCGCGCGGTCCCCTCCCGTCGCCCGTCGAGGCGACTTCGGGGGCCGTGCGCGGCGCCCTCCCCGTCGCCCGTCGAGGCGACTTCGGGGGCCGTGCGCGGCCCTCCCCGTCGCCCGTCGAGGCGACTTCGGGGGGCCCGCGCGGCGCCCTCCCCGTCGCCCGTCGAGGTGGCTCTGGGGGCCCGTCGCGGCGCCCTCCCTGGTGCCCGTCGCGGCGCCCCGGGGGGGGGGCCGCGCGGCTCCCTTCTCGTCGCCCCTCGGGGCGCCCTGGGGGCCGTGCGTTTTCCCCCCCTGCGGCCGCCCCTGGAGCCGCCCGCACCTGCAGCAGCCGCCCCTGGAGCCGCCCGCCACTGCAGCAGCCGCCCCTGGAGCAGCCCGCACCTGCAGCAGCCGCACCTGGAGCAGCCCGCACCTGCAGCAGCCGCCCCTGGAGCAGCCCGCACCTGCAGCAGCCGCCCCTGGAGCAGCCCGTGCCTGCAGCAGCCGCCCCAGGACCCGCGCGAGCCGCCCCTGCAGAAGCCCGTCCCGTCCCCCACCCCCCCCCCCCCCCCCCCCCCCCCCCCCCCCCCCCCCTCCCGTGCTGCCCATTGCTCCCATTCCACCGTGCGTTCCGCGGTGGTTGGGGTGTGGGGTGGCGAGCATGGGGGTGAGAGGTGTGGGTTCTCCCCTCCTCCTTTTTCGTCTCCCACTGCTGCAGCTGCCGCTGAGGGGGGTGGAGGTGTGGGAGTCGTGGGGAGTGGCACTAGGGGGGTGATGTGGGAGTAGAGCTAGGGGTGAAACTGGGGGTGTGTGTAGGGGGGTGTGGGACAGTTGGGGGAGGTTGAGTGGAGGCAGCCGTCGTGTCGTCCGCAGCGCCTGTATTCCGGGGCCCTTGTCGCCGGTAGCTCAGAGAGCCTGCTGCACCTGTTGCCCGTGGGTCCGTTGCTCCTGCCGCTCGTCGCAGCCGCATAGCCTGTTACTCCTGTATTCCGGGGCCCTTGCCTCGGTAGCCACTGAGAGCCTGCTGCACCAGTCGCCCGTGGGTCCGTTGCTTCTGCCGCTCGTCGTAGCCGCAGAGCCAGTTACTCCAGTAGTCCGGGGCCCTTGCCTCGGTAGCCACTGTGTCAGCCGCCACTGTGTCAGCCGCTTCTGTTGCCCGTGTGTCTGCAGCTTCAGTCGTCGCCTCCCATCTTCTCTCCTCTCACAGTCCCTCCTCCTCCTCACTTGCCCTCTGTGATAGCCTTTAGCTTTGCTGATAATTATGAACTATTGCTATGACTGCTCATTGTGCTGATTACACCCCACTTTGGCTATGGGGGTGTGTCAGAATATGTTGTTTGCGTAGCCTGCAGTGGGGTACTCAATAGTGAGTACAGCCCCTTAGGGTTTGCTATTTGTATCCTGCTGCTTGCTAGTTCAATCATTCCTTCTCAATTGTGTTCGTGCACACATTCCTAGCTCGTACTTGGCGCCTCCTTACGTAGTCCTACTGTGGCCTAGGCTACTAAGCCTAGGCCGTACTCCTACTATATTTGACAAGCTTGTGCAAGGTACACGTCAGATTGTTGCACCTCTCCTAGAATGTGTTTGACGCACCCTGAACCTCCCTACGTTGCAGCTAGTCATCTGCGAAGTGACGCGCGACGTCAACGGAGTTTCCGCTGTTGGAATATCAGATGAAAGTTAGAAATGAGAAA